TCGCTTCCTTAACTACAAAAACCATCCTCTGCTGACTTTGACATCTGAAGCTTCAAGAATTGCTCATTATTCGGTTCACGGTAACAAAATGTCAAGTTTTATCTAATAAAAAAAGGCTCTCCTGAACTATGAACCTGTTGTCCTGCCAAATTACACAAAGCTGAAGTTTTCATTGGATATTTTCCATCAAACCATAACATATTCTCCTACCCTCTGCAAGTTGTATAAGGAAGCAATGATTTTGTCTTCCCGACATTTTAGTTCAGACATCTGGAGAATGACGGCACATAGAACAAAACCTGTACAAAGCAGGAATTCCCCCAGATCCTTTAGTGTTACATCAAGCCTCTGGCAGCCTCTCTGATCAGTTCATGTTGTGTTTTAATCAATTATTTTCAAATGGCCAGTTTCCTTAATGTGTCCCTTGTACCATATTCGCCTCATTAATGTCCCTGCAAACTATGGCTCTGGGCAGAATCCATCTAAGAAAGCAGAACATTATCTCAGGTTGAATGCTGAAGTTAAATGCAACTGGGTTTACAGGCTTTACGTCACATTAAAGCTTTTAAAATGTTTCACGTGACTTTCGCTGGTGCAGTGAACAGAGCCCATCTGCATACATCTGTGTGGACAGACTCAGACCCACAGCTGCATCATAATGATGAAAGCGTCACACAGCGCCCGGGGTTTTCATTCACAAGACAGTTTATGTAAATGAAGCTGAGCTGGAGACCACTGTTTCCATGCAACATGCATGTTCCGGTTCTCCCTGCTCTCTCAGGCCCCCTGCTTCATATCAGCGACGCTGGTTACATAAACCGTAGAGGGCCTGGATGCCTGAATGTAGCCAGATTTCAGAGGCACTGAAGAAAGAAGCAGCGTCATCGCCCGCCCCTGTCGTTACATAACTCAAATACAGGCAATTAAGTTTTAACAGGCTGCAGTGACCTTTTGCTTTAGATCCCAATCAAAAGCTGCTCATTTTGCATCTTGGCTTCCCTCCACACTGAAGAGGCTGAGAGAGAGAGAGAAGTAAAGAACAAACTACACGTCCACCATGTTTCCACCTGATAAATATTGTCTTGGTGAGATCAATAGTTGCTAAATCCGAACCAATGTATCATAAAAATATATACTATTGGTCGAGTAACGCTGGACTATCTGGCAGAGTGAAATGGCTTCACAGAGACATCAATCTACGGATCAAACTGTTGACCTGTACGCCTTTAACCAGAAGGCTGCTCCGTCATCCATGAAACGTCTCCACTCAGAGGAGAGAAATTCCTCCTGAGAGCCGCCCTCTGATTTACATTCTGGACAGCCCAACCAAATGTTTTAATTCCTTTATAGAGTTAATGCCCTCACAGAAAGCCCAGCCATCAATGGCTCACTGAGAAGGAACATTCATTTTGCTATATACATTAATTTAAACCTGTTCACATTTTGTCTTAATGCTAGCAAAAAACAGACCTCAGTAAATTTTAATGTGATCTTAGATGATCAACACTTCAGAAATATTCAAAAATGAGCAAAAAGGTATTCAATTGTGTTTTATAAACTTTGGTGATTCACGTTATCCTGCAAGCTTGTCTGGTTATGTCTGGAAAAATAACCATATATTTCCTTTTTACTCTTTGCAACGTTTTGGATGGAGAGCATTGTAAACATTTGCTACCACTCTTTATCTTGAGCCTCAGTTTTGACTAGACCATTCTCACAAATACATGTAAATCATTCCATTGTAGCTCCTGTACAATTTGGGCTGATATTAACCCAGAATGAGAAGCTCTCAGTCCCAAGTCTGTTGGAGCCTATAACTGGTTTTCCTAACGTATCACTTTGCATTTAGCTCCTTCCGTCTTTGCAATGACTCTGAACAGCAATGCATGCACCATATCTATATATTTTTTCTCTTTTAGCATGACAAAACACAAGGAATCAATATTAACATAAATCATACTGCTCAAAGGATTTACTGATCTACATCCAAACAGATACAATGTTCAGTCCTATTTTTAATCCACAGTGATTATTTTAATGTTAATGAGCTGTAACGCCAACTGAAAGCTGACTGGACCTTTCTCTCAGGTAGTATCTGGTCTCGTTTTATGATGCCTGCTGGATTTCATCGAACTCCAGTAGGATAGAAACCAAACCTGTGGACAATTAAATGATTGGAGCCACTAACTGCTATGGTATAACCTTTTTTATTATTATTATTATTAAAGGCCCAGGGCTTTTTAATAGTTATGGACCACTACATAATAATAATTCAAGTTGTCTTGAAATATATGTTATACTCAACTGATTTAATGAATATTAGTATATTTATTACATTTTAAGGCCATAAATACTCATTCCATTGGCAGATATTGGCAGAGTAACCTGCTCAAATTAAGGGAAAATATTCTTATTTTAAGAAAATTTTACATAATTTCAGTTCAGTTTTTGTATAGCAGCAACAGAAAATATACAACAATCCCATCAGTATATTAACAGATTACACTGTTAACACCTTACATTTACGCAAATGTTTTTTTATAATAAAAATCTGCCATATTCATTACCAAAAATTCATTGTTTCCATTCACTGCCCAGTAGGACACAGCATCCACCAGCATCACTCTCCATTTCTGATTTACAGCTACGCCTGAGTGGCCACAGACCCATGGGTCCTTTTGCTCCTGACTTTTTTGTAACCCTGTCATCAGCCGTTACCCTCACTCTGACATTTATGGCCGGTAACGGTGAGCGGCTTGACCTCTTCACCTGATGTGAACAGGATGACAAGGAGGAACAGGAAATGGAAAAAAGGAAGAATCACGCTGCCGGTTATTAAAATCATAAACACAGACCTGGTGATTGGTGCTCTGAATACACAAACCTGATCCCTCCGCTGTCATTGTGTGCACAGGCAAACAGGCGTGCTGCTACTCACACTTCCAGAACATCCATTTTGTTCTGAGGACGTTGGCAGAGTGAGGTCTGCTGATTAGAGCAGCATGATTTCATTTACGGCCCTAAAAAGAGGTGCTGAGAAACACAAGATCTAACCTGTGCTGAAGTCATTACAGCTTTTTTCACTACATTAACATTTATAACAGCTATCTCAGTTTGTTAGATTACAATAGAAAAAGTTATTTCTTTCAGCAACACAATTAAAAAAGGAAAAATATCTGTTGTTGAGATCAATCGCACAGAAGGATATTACGCATTTTGCTATATTAAAGCAATTCTAATGAACCTTCAGTTTTGGTCAATTTTGGCTCCCCACTTGTGGACAAAAGCTGTATTGTTTAGCCTGAAGACAGCATTTCTCACTTGCACAAATGTGGCTGTGTCCGAATGTCTAGTGGATAAAAGAGTAGCGGACTCAAAATTTCCCATAATGCACTTTGAAAAGAAGTGTGCATCCATGGTGACTAGACAAGCAGATACACCCCAGAATGCTTTGCAATAACTTTCCTCGCAAAGCATCATGGGGTTGTTTTTGGGACGAGAAAGAACAAAGATGGCGCAAAGAGCTGGAATCGCATGGTAAAAGTAGTGATCATCTGTCTGAACTGTCAGTTAACTGAGTCCAATATATAGTCCCCATTCTATATAGTGATGGAGGGGTTAGGGTGGATGTTCGGACACAGCCACAGTCTCTCCGGGAAATTCAGGCTGAATCCCAAACCGGCCCCTAACCACTTCTCCTATGCACTAACCCTTCATTTGCGGAGTCTCGCGAAGTGTCGTCCATATAAAAGTAGTAGTAGTAGTAGTGGGTAGGGCGAATGGACTAACCAGTCCTTAAATAGCGAGTCTGCACTGATGCTGTCTCGCTATTTAAGGACTGTTTAGTCCATTTGCCCTACCCGCTACTACTACTACTACTGTCATATGGACGACACTTTGGCAGTGAGTGTAAAGGCAACCAAGTGGCAGAGGAAACTTGCATTTAAAAGTAAGTTCTGCTGGTTTACCGCATCTTCGTCACACTGATCACAAGGTAGGAAAAAGAAAAGGGATGTCATTGATCCCAACAGGGAAGGTCCTCCTTGAAACAGATTTATTTGACTGTATACATTTGTTTTCAAAAAGGGGGCATAGCAACGACTGGTTCCTTTTACATTATAGGGAAGAGGCTATCCCAATCTCGATTATACCCCACCCTCTTCCACAGCTGCGAATGTGACTTCATTGGGAGGTTAGTTAAGGGTTAGTGCTTAGGGGGCGCTTTAGGATTCAGCTGTAGTCACATAGACTCCTCTCTTTATAAGGACGGAGGAAAAGGGGAAGTGACGTATTTGTAGGAGTTTTGTGTGGCAGTTGTTTTGTTACTGCCACTCTCTTCAAGTGTCAGTGCTGCTGAAAGCGATGCAGGCCCCTCAGGTAATGAAAGGGGTGTCAACTAGTTGATTTATAATCACAAAAGTTATGAAAATATTTTATGAAGGTTGAAAAGTTACTCAGTGTTGGTTTAATATAGAGATTAATGAAGCAAGATTCTTTAAATTAAAAGCACTTCCTGTTAGATTCATTCAGGTATATGCATTAGTTTGCAGCCCGTGCTGCTGTGCTTGTTTGTGCATATTTCTGTTAATAATAGAATAAACATTACATGCATGCAACGCGTTGCTGTATGCAATGCATTGCTGTTTGCAATGCGTTGAAATATATTTTGCGGTAGCGATGATAGACAACAGTGTTGCAGGGTCAAAGGGACAATAGATGTCGTGATTCTGACCTGTGCTTAAAGAGTGATGACTTGTAAACACCTCTGTCTCTTTTTAACCTAATCCTATAAAAATCCTACTTAATCCTACCTTATAATCAGCCGCCTGATCCTGTTTTATTTACTCATTAATCCTTTCTCAGGTTAAGCTGCACATTACACAGGTACTTGGGGATATTCCAGTTCCTTTTATCTTTCAGTTTGCAACTTTTTTGTCTTAGAGAAAGGTCACAAAGGCCACAGCATTCAGCTAAAAACTTGAAATGTTTCTCTCTTCCAGCCCACCCCTGATTCCCACTAGGATCTTCTCTTCCCTTTTGGAGACCCTCTCCACCCCCACATCCAGCAGCCATGGCAGATGACGCGGACATGCGCAATGAGTTGTCAGATATGCAGCAACGCGCCGACCAGCTGGCTGATGAGGTGAGAAGAACACACTCGCCCAGTTACAGCTGTTCAAACTGTGCTACCATGAGTACAAATCCATAAAGATGGGATTTGAGAGCCTGAATAAGCAGAGCAGTGATGGCTTATATTTATGCATAAAAATAGTGCATCATAAAAAATTTGAATATTACTTTTGCCACTTAATTCAAACAGATAAATTAATATAGAATTATCAAAGTGGAAGTAAATATTACAGATTTTAATTTATTTATAATGTTAATAGTTTAGACAAAAGTAGTAAAAACAAAATACCTTTGCATTCCATGTATTCTATTTTATGACATATAAAAGGCTGCTGACTAGCCAGCCATCCAACAGACGGGAAGGATGTTACAAAAGATTCCTGCTTGTCAGTGTTGTTTTCAAGTATATGATGGAAAGTTGAGTGGTAAGAAAAAAATGTGTTTTCAAAAATGAACTTAATTGGATAACGCCTGCTTTGAAACAGATTTACAGAAAGAGGAGTAAGATGGGAATCAATGCTTCAGGAGCTACTTTGCACAGATCAATCCTGTTAGAAATGACATATTCCTCATATCAAACTATTATAAAACTCCCAAAAATGTCAAACGTATTTTATCTGAGCAATGGAGAAGAAGAATTGGACTTTTGCCAATGTATTATTATCCACTTTTGGGATGAGATTAAAATTTGTAAAGGGTCATGTCTGCAGGAAGGATGGAGAACCACATAATCCATTCCACTAAAAGTTTTTTAAACCCAGTGATGGTTTGGGGAGCTGCCTCATCTGCTGGCATTGGACCAGTGGGATTTAGAAAGTCCAAAATCAATGCAGCCACCTACCAGGACATTTTAGAGCGCTGGCCATAAGAGACACCAGAGCCAACAATGCAGAGGAGCTGAAGGTTACTATCTGAGCAGAACCACCGGCTTATTGCTTTCATGCTTGGCTGCACTGATGCAGTAATTCATGCAAAAGGTGGTCAACCAAGTATAGATTGAAGATAAATGAAAATACTTTTAATCACTCTGACATATCTGTCGGAATGATTCTTTCCTTATTTATCTTATATGATATTATAATTTTCAAAGAGTTTAAATTCTGGGTTCAAATAAAGGCTACATATAACACAAGTCCATATAATATATTAGTTTCTTTTTTTATGCGTTACATAAGGATAAAAGTATTTTTTTATCTGTGGTGCAGTCTCAAAAAAATTCTGCAGACATCTAAGTGCTCGATAGTTAGAGAATATTGATGTATGGGAGCTCCTGTCTGTTCTCTGTGTCAGACAGAGAAAGAGAGTCTCTATCAGGACCCAGAGCAGATCGGCCCAGAGCCCTCCAGCTCCACATATGACTCACTGTGGCACAGCTGAGCAGAATATTAAACACACACACGTGCATCGGCACAGAGCATGCACAAAATGGCGGCAACACAGTAACACTTTTCCTGTCTTTAACATTAAGAGGCTTTTAGATCCTGACCCCCCACTTCACATCAAAAGTGAGGGAAAAAATAAAAACTGCGTTTTTAATAATGGCTCATATTGCATTGCTTAACCCGATTCTACTGTATATTACGTGTTGCCGATGCATTGATTGTATGTAGTTTTAAGCAGCTAAGTGACTTGAGATGGATAATAATCTGATCTTTCATTTCCTTACAGTCACTGGAGAGCACTCGCCGTATGCTGCAGCTGGTGGAGGAGGTAAGAAAACCCCCACTTTGAATAACTATCCCCCATCCATGAAGAATGATGACAGAATGTGAATAATAATAAAATGGGGTAAAATACAATAAAATGCATTCTGGTTTAGTGTAAAACGTTGATAGTCCTATGCAGCCAAATCTATTTTTTCAGAGGAAACGTGATAAAAATGACTAACTTTGATTCATGCCTCTTGTTCCTGAGGATCTCCTTATTTGAATATTTATAATCAGAAACCCCTTTTTTGTCTTGTCTTGTTGTCACAAGCTTTAATATATATATATATATATATATATATACAACAGGATTGTATATAACAGATCAAAAATAGAAATTAAAGTAAGGTTGTAGTTTATGTTTAACCACATTATTCTGAGATTCCTGAATATAAACGTGTCTGAACTAATCTCGATTCTTTGAGGTTTGTTAGAGATCATTAGAGAAAAAAAGTTAAGAGAGAAAGGGAGGGAAACTTTAAAGAGGGCTCTTTTATTAACCAATACTATCCCACAACCATTTTTACTGTACTCCACAACTCTGTGCTTTTCTGCACACCCAAGGAGGAATATAGTGACAAATGCGTACTCTGTAGGGAAACTTTTTTTTTTAAAGCAAAGAGGTTCTTCTTGGTGTTGATGGAAGGAATATTGGAGCAGATCATACTTAAAATTCCTGAAGAGGAATATGGAGGTTTACCTTCAACCAGTGAAACAAGAGGAAACATCCAATCAGAGCTACAAAGTGTTAACTTGGCAGTAAGCTAGATTGAAATGTGTAGAACTGAGTGGAGTTTGATGCCAATCTGTGACGGCTCCGTGACAAAGAGGGACGTATAGTACAATACTTCAGGCTGACTGGGTGATGTGCCAGCTAGTACCCACCTTCCATAATACGCTTTCAGCCAATCGTAGCAGCAAATCTTGACGTTTCGCAAGCTGATGTATCAAACTTTTTCCAAATCCTGTCGGAAGAAAAGCACACACATCTTTCCTATCTACAAATGCATAAAGTGCTTCTCTTTGCTTCGCTATTTTAGCTAATACTGAGTCAATTGCGTTATCAACAGGTGAGTCCTCCAGCGTAGTCGTATTTGTAACGCCCCGACAAGGCCCTTCTAAATGTCCTCATTCCTAGACTGTATGTCCCACCCCAAAAAACACTGCTGGCATGTCATTGGTCCAACTCACTAGAGGTTCAGAGATGGACGTATTAGTGGGAGTCTTTCAAGATGGACTTGTTGTGAGACTGAAAACTCAGATCTTGCAGCAATCCAGCTTGCAGTGGAAGGTTAACAAAGTGTATCCATGTCTCAAAATGGCCTAGTCAAAGTCCAGGTGTAAATTTGAGAAGAAAGACCGAATTATTGTTGTCAATCGAAGGTTTTCATCCAGACTGAGCTGTTCTGCAAAGTGAAATGATTATAAGAGACATACTTTGATAGATAGCGGTGATGGCGACATGGGAGGCTGGAGGAGTCACCTTGATCAGGGCTGTCGCAAATCAGAACCACAGATACTGAGGTTTGTGGTTTTATTGGGAAAATACAAAGTATGTGAATATCTTAGCTGTGAAAATAAGAAATAAATGCACCTTTATGGATAATTTGCTTCAATTCCCAACATGTCTGAGAATAACAGCAAAGGAGAGTGGTACAAATTTCTAAATAAAAGCCTGGATTAAAGTTTGTTTCCTATCAACGTAAAAACAAAAAGGTAGATCAATGTTTAAATGTCAAGAAGATAATGATCATCTCACTAATTAATGAAACAAATTCAGTATTTTTTTCCTTTTATTATGCTGAGGTGTGTGTATCTTTGACTGCCGTCTCTGAGTCAACCGTGACTCAACTGAATGATGGCGTGAATAACACATTACAGGAAATGAGCAGACGTCAGAGGGAGATAAGATGAACACACACACACACACACAGATTCAAGAGAGAGCTATTGAAAGCACTAGTACTGGTAGGAAGATGATACCATTATCCACTGAAGGGAATACTGCAACAAGCAAACTGAGAAAAAGGGCGTAAAGGCTGTAGGCAGCTGGGGTAGAGGTGGAAGAGTTACTCAGTGCAGCTCTCAAGGTTAGAAAGATCATAAATGGAGATATATCATTAAAACACAATAACAAACTGTGCTGCAGGCTTGGAGGAGCAAGAGACAAAGTATTGGAGTTAATTACACTTGACATCCAAAAAAAACACCACTCTCAAAGACAGCCTTCACTAAATAATGAAATTAGATGAAGAATAATTAAATCTAGCACCGCCTGAAGCTGTTTTTATTGCCATTATATCCTGATTATCTTATTTGCGTTGTTAAAAGAGAAAAAATGTTTTCTTCATGTTTCCTTCCATGACTAAAAATATATATCTACTTAAAGCTTTAAGACTTTAAAGAAGAGTTAAGAAATGTGAAAGAAATGATTGTGGTGGATCACTGACACCAAGTTTACACTAGAAAAAATCGAAATCTAGATAATTCATTTATTATTAAAATAATTGCATTTGTTCTTGGATTGAGGAGGTAAATAAGACATTTTATCAGTGGAACAAGACAACTTCCACTTAAAATAAGAAAACACAATTGTTTTGTCTTATTTTAAGTGCATATTATCTATTTATCTTATTTTAAGAGTAAAAATACTCATTCAGTTGGCAAACTATCTAATTTGCCTACTAAAATTAAGGGTAAATACACTTAATTTAGGATATTTTAACTTATTTCTAGATTACTTTTCAAGTTTAGGACTTCCATGACCTGAGATTTCTTCTGGAGGCTGGGGTCATTATTTTGTTTTGTTGTTGTTTTATTATTTAAACATGTGATATCTTATAAAAGATGTGGGGCAGATTTTTGTCTGTTTATTTCAGGTCAGTTATTTCTATTGATGCCTGTGGAGCAAGAAATAAATCAGTCAGACATCTATTAAGTCCTTCTTTATACTGGTTGACACAACTTTGTGTCAGAATTTTGTAATATTACTCTTACATAATATGTATGAGTCCCTCGCAGTATTTGGAACAGCACAGTGTCTGCCATTAAGAGAATGGTCCATTTTCTAATGTTAGCTAATGAACATGTGCTGCACATGTATTTCTTATTTTCTAAAATAATAGATCGTTTCCAAACCCATAAACCTTTTTAATCCATGAAATAAACCCCTATGGCCAACTTCTTGGCTTCAGCTGTCAGATGTTCTACAGTCAGCTTAAGAAGTTTCTCTCAGCAGCTTACAAGTTAACTTCTCCTTTTTGGTTTACAAATCTATTCAAAACATAAATAAGAAATAAGAAATTCAGGCCTCAAAGATGTTGTTGAAAATAAGGGTAGAGATTTGCAAACTAATCATTCACTTTATTGTATTACGTAAAAAGATGCTATGCTAACAGTTATGTGTGTTTTTTTATTATTATTATTATTATTCTGGCACAAGTATTCTGAAAACCTGAGTCTGTGCCCAGTGACTTCATTGAGCATTTACACATTTACAGCCATAGCAGATGGTGATTGATAGGAATGCATCTTATTTAACAGTTATAACAAGAAGCTTAATTTGCACCAAGTTCAGTTACTATAATCTCCCAGTGGTTTTAAATTATTACATGCCTATGGCAAAACATGGTGCAACCCTACCTGTTTACCAACCATCAATGTTTTGCCGTACTTTTGACACAAGGCCACATGAGATGGCTTTACATTGAAATCATGAAAAGCCAAAAAGAAGGAAGACATTTTTTTTTCTGTTGGTTGTTCTGTAAATAACCCAAAATCTAATAAAAGAAGACATTTGGGGGTGCATGTCTGTTGAAAAGATGCATTTCATTTTCTATTGCTTACCCATTTAATCACTGCATGCCTCACTTAACCTGAATGTGACAAACGTGCAGACCTTAACCCTCCCAATGAGTGATAGACCCAAAGTTACACTTTTGGTCATAACCAAAGCTAGCGAAAGAAAGAACGAAAGCATAGTGTATATTTCCTACTCCTTGATCACAGCTGAGCAAGAATTGTGCAAAAATGTAGAAGTTACCTCTAACCAATAGCAAAAAGTGATCAACTTGAATTGCTTCTCTAATGATTAGATATGTGGAAACACCTCTGTTGATTTATTGGATCACAGATGATTGCCACATTTCTAAGCTGCAGAGAAGAGAGAGCGATTAAAGTATAAGATGTGAATGGACCTTAATGTTTTCTACACCATAAGTTTTTGTAGCAGATAAGCCTATCTGTTAGAAGTATTTTTTTCAGTTGATTGAGCTCAGCTCTTTGACATTTCAGACAATCATAGATGCTTCAGAATAAAGTCTGAATAAAAAAAGAAAACCAGTAGATGAATCAAAAGAGTAAACCTTTGCCAAGAGGTATGGATCATCTCATAGATCATGCTTAGAATTTAGCTAATAACTGGATGTTTTTCAGTCTGCAGGGGAAATATTACTGCTGTGGTATAATGTTTGTTCTTTAAAAGAAGTGTAGCCTTACCCTTGTTCTCATTGGTTTTATAGTTAAACTCTTAAGAGTATTCTTTAGTTTTTAAGCTAAACCCATTAAGGCCATCTAATTTGTGCACCTTTCAATCATTATCTGGCATGCTTATCAATTAGGTTGTTAATCTAATGATCTGATTTCTATCCTCAAGGCAAAAGACTTAAGTGAACTTAAATTACTTGTTAGGTTTAAGGTATGGATGCCTTCAGCATCCATATGCTCACATATTTCTTCAAAGAGGATAGCTTTAGCCAGGAGATGCAAGAAAATAAAGACACAATACAAAAAAACAAGGAAATCCAACAAAGCTATCTAATGAATACGTCCGACTTTGTACATAAGTGTAAGGTTTTTTTTTCCTATGCTTTAACATACACTTTCCAATGTGTGTTTTAAGGAACAAGTCTGGATAATAAAAACTTAAACTGGTTTCTTTATAATTTCAAAATTAAGATTTTTAGTTCCAACAACTGCCTTTCCTAAAAGGATTAATCCATGAAGGAAGGTCTTGGTGAGGTATGCAACAAATAATCTGAGCTACTGGGAATAATTCAGAGTTTCTTTTCTCTTAGTCTATTTATGGTAGACTGGATATAATCTGCTCTTCGTAGTGTAATAGATGTTTTTACAAGAGGATACCTACAGTTCTACAGTATTTAACACTGTAAGAGAATAATCTCCCATCTCTCCCTTATTGTCTGTTGTTCAACCAACATTTATTCAGACGCCTGAAAAACTTCAATTTACATATTTTTTTTAACACAAGCTGAGTCGTTCCTCTGACAGGTAGGAATATCAGCATTTTTTAGTGAAGCAGGCAGTCATTAGCTGAATCCGGAGATGGGGTTAAAGATTAGGGTGATGGGGAAGAGGGCTTCCAATCACAACGACTTTGAGCTCATCACCTCACATAAATCGACAAAGCATCAATAACAAAAAGGTTTGATCTTAAGATGCTACTAAATTGTTTCTATTGATTATGAGAAGGAGTTTAAAAAAAACTTTTACATGAAAATGTTTTCAGAAAATATGGAATAAAACGACAGACTGAGAGAAGATTGCTGAGGTTGTTCCTGAACTTACTGAAGAACATATTCAAGTTATATATCTACTTTTCTTGTGTAGGTCTTAATGTGAGTTTACTGAGGAGGCTGAAAGGGTCTGAAGCTTTAAAGTCATCACCATCATCCTTTGAAACTGTAACTTGCAGTTTATTCTGTAGCCTTTTCTATAGAAGAGACAGAAGTATTTATAAAAACTTGTGATTTTCAGGTCTATAGTTTTCAGGTTCTCATTCTCTTTGTTGACCTCTGCTTTCTCTGCCTTCCTTACCTTCCATCCGCCTCTTGCCTTCACTGGGAAATAGAGCAAAGATGCTGGAATCAGGACTTTGGTTATGCTGGACGAGCAGGGGGGTAAGTAGAGAGAATGAGTGATGCTCAATTTAATGTTTTTACTGTAAAAACCCTTTTTTTATTGAACAAAGTTGCCCTGCTTGTGTACATCTATAATTCTAATCAAATCTTAATTCTGTACTTTAAATGTTTTATCATAAACAAAAACTTTGGATGCTTTAAATGTTTCAAATTCAAGTGCTTGTTTTTATTCAAATGCATTCAAAACTAATTCATTTTTCTTTCAGTTTCATTTGCTTTTATTTTGACTTTCAGATTTCTTTAGTTCTTCTCACTGCATGCTTACTTGATCGATGAAGATTGGAATATTGCTTTCTGGAGATTTTCTTTCAGCTTCTTTTAACTTTTTTTCTACTTTGGTTCACAATTTTCTCCATGGTTTGCCTGACTGTTTTTCTTTACTTCATCCTTGTTTCTTAATCTTCTTTTATTTCAGCTAAGACAGAAAAAGAGAATTCTGAAAAGTGCCAAAACCCTTAACTGGTCTCATGAGGAATATTTACAGCACGTCACTGCAGTACCTAAACCTCCCACAGCTAAACATTGTTGTTGGATTAAATAGTGTCTCTGGGTCAGTTTTCCTCTTCACCAAGTTGTACCTGAGTTTTACAGAGATGTTTGGCCTGTTGTTCTTTTTCACTTTCAGTTTGTTGCTGTAAAAAAATCCCTTGATACTCATCCACCTACCAGTGTTTTCATAAAATCTGGGGATAAATTATCCTAAAATTATAACATTTCATTAATACTTTAATTTAGTTGTTTAGTCTTGTCTGAATATTATCATTACTCGTAAAGTGTAAATATGAGCCTCCATGGGTTGATTTGGAAAAAATCGTAGCATATTGGTATTTAGTGCCATCAATGTAGGGGGGTTCACTAAAGCTATTATGGAGGATTTTCATGATTTTATTTTAAAAGACCCGCCCTCTCCACAAAAAAATGCACATGCACAACCCTGTACCCGCTTCCGAGAGGGAACGTCTATCTAGCGTGCACGAGCCCATTTTTCCACTTGCCCATTTTTCCAAAAGTTGCTGTTCTCATAGCTCGTACAAGCTTACTGTGCCTGAACATCGGCTCTAATCCCTAAATCCCTCAATCACTATATAGAGCGGAGACTATATAGTGGACTTTACAGCGAACTCAGTTGACTGATCTTTCAAACAGGTGATTACAGCTTTTTGTTCCGATGGTCACGTAACTCCTCCATACCTGCGCCATCTTTGTTATTAGTCCCCGCTGTGAGGTAGTGATAGCCTATGGCGACAGCGGGCTGCTGTGACAGCAAATCCCATAATGCTTTGGTAGGAGAGCTTTCCACGCAAAGTATTATGGGATATATCTGCCTCTTCTGAGGCCTTTCTTCTCATACACTTCATAGACACTTTTTCTACAACGATCCTCTGCGATTTTCAAAGAACCGCGGTGAGAAAGGTGAGCTTCTATTACTGTCTGAAACCGTAGCTCACAACAGATATACAGATCTATATAGGTGAAAGTGCCCATTCACAGTAAAGCATAGCTGATGGGACGAGCACGTAGGACGGCCTTATGTAAACATATCACCAGAATAATTGACAATTAGGAGGACCACTTATTTAGATGATCCACCTGGATATAAAAGATCCTCCTCTATACCTTTAATAGGCCTTTAAGTGAAAACATTTCGATGTTTATTTATTGTAATGAAAAAGTAAATAATGGGCATCAGACATATAGCAATGGGTCACTATGGCTTTTTGCCTTATTTCCTCAGATAAGTAGCCCACACTGACCATCTGTTAACACCACACCACACTCTGAAGTCGCTGACCTTTAGAAAAGTCAGCTGATATGGATCTACCACTCTTCCTCAGCGTTTCACTATAACAGCAGGAGAAAGAGCTTGACCCATTTGCTGTTATGTGCTCATTAGGAAAAAAATCCCAGGGAAGGCGGGAGAAAGTGTCAAAGTTGAGCTTAGTGAAGAGAAGAGGGACAATTTAACCAGAGTCCTTGGACTGAAAATTGCACATTTCTTTAAAGCAGTTATAAAATGTCCCTGAAACATTAACTGATACTTTATCAATGTATAAGTTGCAAAATCTCCTGGGTAATTTATAACTAGGCAGGTAGAGACCAAACGAAAATGCATCAGTACAAAATGGTGAAGGGGCAAAACAACCAGCAGGATCATATTGTTCTTTTTACAGTTAGTGGTTTAGTAACAGCTCTCCACCATGTTTGCCTTGAATCATTTTACACAATAAAAACTTGCTAGAAATCATATGCAACTACAGGTCTGGTTAGAAATCACATATTCAAATCATCCTTAACAACGAGTAATGAGCCCAAGCTGTCTTTAACTTTTCTCTGATTGGTAGATAAAGATGCAAAGTTTTGAACAGATCTGACAACAGTTCTGCTACAGTATGTTGGTGTACCATAAGGGTAGAGAGAAAAGAACTGGATAACAGAAACGATCGATTTAGCTGGTAATGACAAACTATTCAACCTCTCGCCTTTCAGCCCACTTCCTGATTTGTACAATCCCTGGATGCAACTTGAAAGTGTAAAAAATTCAGTAGTTAAAATAAATTCAAGTCATTTGTACCAATCATTAATTCTGTATGAGGGCATCCTTAATTCTGTCAACACAAATGCCTCTAATGGGAATAAGCTGTAGACTTGCTGTGACAAACAATGCATTTACTCTAAAGCATACGACTCCCACAGCATGTCTGCACCTGTAAAGCAGCTATAGAGGCTGACTATATGGAATCTGAGGGGTATATTGTAATTAGATTTTCATATGATAGATGAGCATATTTTGGCAAAGGGGTTTGGTGTTAGCTTAAATCCACCTAACTAAGAAAATGGCATCAGTTTTTATATTTGCTTGATGTCTTTACCACTTTCATAAGTGCATGCCAACCAAGGGTTGAACAAATCTTTACAGTCAATGAACTGATTCCTGAATCCACTCCATATTTAACTGTGCCACCTGCTGTCACGCTCTAACATTTTATCTCTGTCCCAAAACAAATTCACTTGGAGAAATAGCTGCTAACTCTCCATCCACCACATCAGCATGACAACGCCTCCAACATCAGTAACTCAGAATGCAATCGCAGTCAGAAATCAGTCAAGTTGAGGAAATGCAACTCGGCAACGACACTCTGAATCAGATCTGTTTGACGTAAACTGATCTGTAGGAAAAAAAACCAATAGGATTGGCTACTTGCTTTTCTTTGCAAACATGATAATTATTATAAATCACAACCTAATTAACACTGAATACTATTTGCAGACTCTAAAGGGAAAAAAACAAACAGATTTTTAAAGTCAAAGATCTGATTTCAGAGCTAGTTTCAGTTGATGATTTAGCCTTTAAAAATAAGAAATCCTGACTTTATATGAACAACTGGAATACAGAATAAGGTGAGAGCTCAATTAATAAAAGAAAGGAATGTTTCTTATAAGGGAAACTAGTTTTAAACTAGACGAATAAGAACACATACACTATATTGCCAAAAGTATTTGCTCACCTGCCTTGACTCACATATGAGCTTAAGTGACATCCCGTTCCTAATCCATAGGGTTCAATATGACGTCGGTCCACCCTTTGCAGCTAGAACAGCTTCAACTCTTCTGGGAAGGCTGTCCACAAGGTTTAGGAGTGTGTTTATGGGAATTTTTGACCATTCTTCCAGAAGCGCATTTGTGAGGTCGCACACTGATGTTGGACGAGAAGGCCTGGCTCTCAGTCTCCGCTCTAATTCATCCCAAAGGTGTTCTATCGGGTTGAGGTCAGGACTCTGTGCAGGCCAGTCAAGTTCATCCACACCAGACTCTGTCATCCATGTCTTTATGGACCTTGCTTTGTGCACTGGTGCACAGTCATGTTGGAAGAGGAAGGGGCCAGCTCCAAACTGTTCCCACAAAGTTGGGAGCATGGAATTGTCCAAAATGTCTTGGTATGCTGAAGCATTCAGAGTTCCTTTCACTGGAACTAAGGGGCCAAGCCCAGCTCCTGAAAAACAACCCCACACCATAATCCCCCCTCCACCAAACTTTACACTTGGCACAATGCAGTCAGACAAGTACCGTTCTCCTGGCAACCGCCAAACCCAGACCCGTCCATCAGATTGCCAGATGGAGAAGCGCGATTCGTCACTCCAGAGAACGCGTCTCCACTGCTCTAGAGTCCAGTGGCGGCGTGCTTTACACCACCGCATCCGACGCTTTGCATTGCACTTGGTGATGTATGGCTTGGATGCAGCTGCTCGACCATGGAAACCCATTCCATGAAGCTCTCTGCGCACTGTTCTTGAGCTAATCTGAAGGCCACATGAAGTTTGGAGGTCTGTAGTGATTGACTCTGCAGAAAGTTGGCGACCTCTTCGCACTATGCGCTTCAGCATCCGCTGACCCCGCTCCGTCAGTTTACGTGGCCTACCTCTTCGTGGCTGAGTTGCTGTCGTTCCCAAACACTTCCATTTTCTTATAATACAGCTGACAGTTGACTGTGGAATATTTAGGAGCGAGGAAATTTCACGACTGGATTTGTTGCACAGGTGGCATCCTATCACAGTTCCACGCTGGAATTCACTGAGCTCCTGAGAGCGACCCATTCTTTCACAAATGTTTGTAAAAACAGTCTGCATGCCTAGGTGCTTGAATTTATACACCTGTGGCCATGGAAGTGATTGGAACACCTGATTCCAATAATTTGGATGGGTGAGCAAATACTTTTGGCAATATAGTGTACATGCTCACAACCAAACTTTAAGCTTAGCTAGATGTAAGCTAGATGTAATAAAGCTTACTAAAACCTTGATGAGTTAAAAAAATGAATGTATCTTCTCGTTTACATTTACAGGTACATGTTTACAGGTAGAATTAGATTATATAGTATTTCTGGTGGCCATATTTCACCTCAGGTGGCCATGGCTTTGCTCTGTTTGACGTTGGAAAGTCTTAATTTCTCCCGTAAACTCATTAATATTTGTTTTAGTCTGCACACCAATTTACACACACTCACATTTACACCTCAGTTGCTGTTCGTCATATCTCATATTTCTGTCAATCAGTCAATGAAATTCATTCCACTACTGTCATCCCTTTGTCCTGACCAGAGCAACTCGATCGTGTTGAGGAGGGCATGAACCATATCAACCAAGACATGAAGGAAGCCGAGAAAAATTTAAAAGATTTAGGGAAATGCTGTGGGCTTTTCATATGTCCATGTAACAAGTAGGTACTGACAATGTGCCCAAAAGGTTCTTTGCATATGTGGTGGCGTCCAGTTTTTCCTCTTTTTTTTTTCTCGTTTTGTTTTTCTTTCTTTTGTCATAGTGAGTGTCTGAAGTTGTTGTCTTCTCTCCTTTGTCTCCTCTCTCTTTCTCTCGCCTTATTCTTCTATCTCTCTTTCTCTCTTTCTCCTCGTGCTTCGTTCTGTGGGGGATAAATGACTTGTGTTTAATCAGAGCAACTGGAGCGCATCGAGGAAGGAATGGACCAAATCAATAAGGACATGAAGGATGCAGAAAAGAATTTGAACGATCTAGGGAAATTCTGTGGTCTTTGCTCCTGTCCATGTAACAAGTAGGTGCTGCTTGCCTGCCTGCCTGCCTGCCATTAAAAAAGACACTAAATAACAAATAAAAAAACAACAGAGGAAGAAGTGACATCACAATGGCCATTAGCCAATAGTCTGCTCTGCTCCAGTTCCAATAATAACCATCTATACAATGGGACACAGGTGGATGATATTCTTTAAAATAGCCTCACAAAGAGGTGCGTCGCCCTTGAAGTGAAACTGAAGAATATTTTTCAAGAGCTCATGTCTGAGACAGTAGTTCATCTTTAAAATTCACTTACAAATAAAACAAATCAAAAATCTTCACTTGATATTTTCTTAACCTGGCTACTACTGATTGCTCAAATTTCCCTCAGTGTCGATATTTGAAAGAGATGAAGAAGCCACGAGGAATGGGCAAAAATCTAGGAATTATGATTATAAACCAGCATAAACATTTCTGGTATTAAAAAGATTGGTACATATTTTTTGCATTGTTGGTTCAAAGAATACGACCATATCTAATCTTTACTCTAATACTCGATGTTTAAAATAAATGCTTTCAATTAAAACAAAAAAGCAAACAATATTTCCAAATGGCACCATTTTAAAATAACATTTAAGATTAGATTAGATTATTGTTGTTTTTTTTCTATTAGTTTTATAGGTAACCTTCCAAAGGCCTAATTAGCTTAAAGGCTTAAAATGAGTGTTTTATTTGCATACAGAACAGTGGTTTAATTGAAATATAGCATTGTTTTATGTCTGTTCATGCTAAGATAAACCTGGAATATTAAATTAGATCATATTGTATTAGAGTACATTAATGAATTATTAATACCATAAGGGAATTACAAAAAGTATAAAATTAGAATCATTACAAGTAAACTTGAGTTAAAATAATGAAACGTGAACTTAAAAGTGAGTATTTAGGGGAGAGCACTATTCTAAAGATCAAAAACTAGTAGCTATATAGATACAAGTGCATCCCTAATCAAAAATCTAAGATAAGTACATTACAAACCTCCTTGTTTCATTTTTATAGTGCTAATTATGTTAGCTATAACAAACTTTGTCAATTAATATTTTTTAAATTTACACCAAATTAACAAGTTTATAGTGACAGGTTGTTTAGTCATCTGCTTAGGTACGGAGCTTAACAAATATAGCTGCCCACTGTAATTCAAAAACATTATCTCATTAGAGACAAATAGTACTTCTTTAGTTATCACAAAATCACTCCCATATTTTTCAAAGCCCTTTCAGTTATATGGCTCAATCAGAACAGCAATAATAGCTTAGTTAATATTTTAAAATGGTATTAAACAGACTTACTTTGTAATGGCTAGTGGCAGATTTTTACAAAGTTGTCGCGAAATTAAATATGTAGGGAGTTACAGACTGAGGAGTTCTTTCTATGGTTGCTTTTATTGAAGGAAGTTCTACAAAATAATGTTTAATAACAAAGTAAGTTATTATTGCCCATGCCTCGGCACCATAACAATATATTTTAATGAGTTCAACTACAGATCATTTTTGATTTGCTTTAATAGACTTTTTTTTTTACTTTAATGTAGATTTGCATAGGTTCTTGATGCATTACTGCAAAGAGTATAACTGCTGGTAAATGCAGCAGCCTTATGTTCTTTTGAGGGCTTCACCTCCGGAATAATCTGTAGACATGCAACCATCCCAATGTTTTTACATCTCACAATATTCCCCATTTCTATTCAGATTAGACACTTCTATGTAATTAGTTTTGGGAATTTTCACAATTTCCTATTTATGATTACTGCAATTTATCGCCATTAGTCATACCTATAAAAAAAGGCTGCATGAATAACCATTAAAGCAACACTAGAACTTGTTTTCAAGCTTCCTCCCACTCAACCAAGGCCACAGTTCATCAAGTGCCTCAATTAACTCCTTTCTACTAAGTGCCCTTCTCCCAGTGCCCTATTCTCTGAGCTCACACTTCTTCTTACAGTTCAAGAGACTTTTACATTTCAATGTCCCCACTATGGAAGACCGTTTTTAATCATTTGTACTGGTGAAAATGTATAAAGGCTGGACATAGTGTGCTGATGCACAACACTTTGATAACTACATCAATCAATCATGTGCTGATTGCTTCCGAGCAAGAATATATTTTCCTGGTATTTAAAAAAAGTGGCGCTAAGAGTGGACTTTTAAAAGATATCACTGTCTCTGTTGGCCTTTCCAACTAAAACTAATGAGATTTTAACAAAAAAGAGCAGGGCTGAGGCTCCCAAAGCATATTGGAACTCAGATGTTCACTCTGTATCGATTAGGGCATGAATAGTTTTCAATCTTAGTCCCAAAATGCATTTGGGCAGCCTGGTCAAGGACTGTTTGACACTTCTCCTCATCTGCATGATCTCTTCCACCACACCGCTCTAACATCCAGTAGACCCTCACCTTTTTACAGGGAACGAGAACGCCCTCCCTCCCCCTGAACACCCTGCTCCTCCCCGACCACTGGTGACATGGAATGACTAGCGAGCATGACCCTGGGAATGCTCTTGCATGTTTGAAATGCAACACATAACAGCAATTCTTCATAATAATCCCAAAGGTTCTTATGATGGCTCATAAACAAAAATGAAAGACATCTTCTTCAGGTTTTATCCAATTTTTAGGGTTAGAAGCTTGATCTAAGACTTTCCAGTGAAAAGGGGACAAGATGGCAGAGAGTCATAAAAAGCCATGTTCCTCAAAAACTAAAACAGTCATGTCTGTGTTGTATTTTGGTACGAGGAATTGGTAAATGAGAAACTATCCTCCTATGTAACATTTTGGGTTTTTAGTAAAGATTTCTTCACTACGCTCTATATTTTATGGGATGAGAAATAAAATAATTTATCTTGATTAAAAAGGGATTGAAAAAAGCTGTCAAAGCTGCACAAGACAAAGACAGCAATAGGAAATATTCAAAACCTCCCCCTCAAAATATTTGAATTTATGTCTGCAAGCGTGACTCTAATCCAGCAGAGTCGGGGTTAACGTGTAAATAGCTGCATCATGTCTCTGGTTCCCTCGTCTTTACATGGCTTCATGTAGTGATCAAGTCCTCAGCTGCGTGTCTTGTTTCTCCGCCGGATCTGCTGCAGTTTCTCTGCAGTGCCACCTCTCCTGCTTAGCCCTGTGCTGAATTAGCCCCTATCCTGCACTGGGTGCTTCAAAACATTTCTGTTTGCAAAGCTTCTTCTCCCTCAGGCGGCTGGCTCACATGTAGGTCAGTCTTATCAGATAGTGGCATGGCAGTCTGCTGGGACGTTGACTCAATCTGACTGCACAAAAGGAACGTTTTTAGAATGAGGAAAACAAAGCATTTGGTTGGATTTCTGCAGCTCCGAAATGCCTTCACATTCTAGCTGTCTGTCTGCGCAGTGGATGACTTAATCAAAGAATGATTAATAGAGAACAAGTTTAGTTTCTTAGGACTCAAAGCATCTAGCCTATTTATTTTCTACTTCAATAACAGAAAACCTAAGTAAAGTTGGGCATTAGGGGTGTAGCAGTCCATTCAGCTAACAAGGCGAGATTTATGGGTATATATTTTTCTACGCTTTTAATTTTTGTCGTGCTTACATGTGACAAAACAAAAAAAGAAAGAGAAAATTAACTTTTTTGTGGTATTCTTATTGTTGAAAAATCTATTTTTCAAGAGCAAAGCTAGTTTTTAAAGAAATCGTTCAGATTGTAAAAAATTCAACTTCAATTTATTTTTATTTAAATGAAAATGTTTAGATTTTGAACTAAAGATGTGAGCTTCTAACTTGACTATTACTTTAGTAGTTATTTTTCTAATGAATTACATTTACTCATTACATTTAATAGCAATTATCTGTATTTCCAACTCCTTAGTTTCTCCAAATTGGCCCCTTCTTTACGTCTTAATAATGTAAAAAAAACAGCGAACATCAAGAGTGCAAAGGATGTTTAGTTGAAGTGCAGTTTGTTTATAGAAAAACATTAATAGTGACAGGGATAAACACAAGGGGCTGGAAACATTGCAGATGATGGATCAGATCCATTCTTTGTTAGATTTTAAATTTACATTTGCAATTTTAATCCTATGATAGAGTTCTAAAGGTATTCATCCACTCATGCAGAATTTCTCCTCAGTTTAGTCTATTTTATCCTGTCTGAAATTTGTATTTAAAACTGGACAGATAAACTAGAGATTGTCAGATATTTTACATTCTCTATTTTAGAGTTAGCTGACGGGATCCAGGAAGCACGATCCATTCTGCACATGCGCAAACAGATATACATCCCGGTGTCTATATATAATGTAATTATGGTACTAAAACTACTTATTTCTATTCTTAACTCACCAAAGAATGCTAATACACATCTTAAAAAAAAATTTCATGACTTCTGTGAGACCATTTTTATGCTTTTTACATTTTCTCCGTTAAACTGCTTCTTTGACGTCATCATGGGACATGCTCAGGGCAGTCTGGCAAAATATGATTAAACATGTTTATCTGCATTTTAGTTGCTTCCTTCTTTAGATTACGCACCTATAGCATAAGATTAAAATGGAACAAAAACATAAAACTCTAAAAGACTAGATTTAAAGCTAAGCCACCTGAAGTAGCGTAGGATCCCATTTCTGGTGCAGATCAGGCATTCATAAAACAGTGATAAAACAAGATTTTAAGGCATTTAATTTCTCAGGAAATACATAGTTAACCTTTAACACTTTATATTTTAGTATCTTCACTATCTTTGGGGACGGAAAATGTCATTTAGGTATTTTTAACAAAATAAAATCGAAAACGACCAGGATTTATATCTGGATGAGCATGCGCAAATGAGCTGATAGCCCATATGCAGAATGATAGTGTTTCTGGGACGGATCTGGGTAGTGACAACAGGGCCAGCCTCATCAGGGTAAAACCAATCAGAAACAGGTGTGATGCCAAATCTCCAAGCAATTTGTAATTTTGCAGTCAGTGAAACATGTTGAAGAAATTCTCCAGTGAACTTTTCTGCAGGTCTTGCATAAAAAGATCTGAGGATAAAAGCTGTGCTCTCTGTTACGTTCTTAATACTATTGCACAGTATTTATATTATTAAAACACTTTACAGCACAGTAATTTATAGGTCTATTTTTTAACTCTTCACTATGATGTTATTCTTATACATTTTTCTAAGGTCCATATTTGTGTGACCATTTTTTCTATAATCTTTTTCCTGCTGTAACAGCAGTTTCCCCGTTGTTTGACAATAAAGTAATTTCCTATTGTATTCATTATGGGTAAATCTGGCTCTGAGATTCACACATCTTAAAGTGACGCCTTCTGTGCTGTGATTGATCTGGGCATAGGGTTGCCAACCAGCCCTTGAAACACGGAATCGTTCCGTATTTAGATATAGAAGTACCTGTCTTTTTATTTAGTGGAAAAGGAACATACTTTGTCTCTACTACTGTGATAGTAAAAAAATTATCATTAAGAAGCTAACAGAAAATGAAGAACAAGGGCACGCTTGATACAAAACTTACGTTAAACTTGTTCCTGGGCCCTGTCCTGCATTGTGACCAGTGAGCTGACAACATATACGTTACAATCCAGAATACCCTCATCCCATTGGTGGAGCCAAGTGTTGCTTAATGAGAAGATAGTGGGAGACAACAGAGCAATATGGGGGACAAACGGGGTAATTGAAATGCTGATGCTGCTTTTGGGGGTGGTGCACCTTCACAAAGCGATGCTCCTCCTCAAAAAAAAAAAAAAAAAAAAAAGGATGCACAAATATAGGGAGGAATGGGGGGAAAAATACCTGGAAGAAAAAAGTCTGTGATAATTAATATAAAGCACAATGCAAATATGCATCTAATTCAATTTGAGTCAAATAGTTAAAAATCACCACGCCAGGAGGAGTAAAGGCTGTTGGTTCAGCTGAGCACACACATGGGGTGGCCCTTTTTTTTTCAGGCAGATCTAGCCAGAGCTAACCAGGGTTTACGAGGCTGCATTATGGTCTGCGTAAAGCACTAATATAGCTTGCCAAGCTATATATTTACAGGAATTGCTTTTGATAGAAATCTTTAACAAACCGTTTTTGATTAATCATTTCCATTCTTTTAACGATATAATGTAGCAGACACATTCTCAGAAAAAAATAAGAAAACTTCTTGATTACATTATATATACAGGAAGATTCTGCCTCACAACAACAAAAAAATATTCTGCTTTCTTTTTTTTTCTTTTTTCCCAGTGTAAACATGAAACTTCAGTTTAGCACTTGAGTTACAATCAATCTATAATCTTAGATGGAAGAAGAGTAACTTAAGCATGTTCTATCAAACCGACCTCAACAATAAGCCTTGGTAAGGTTTCTAATTTTGACAAGAAAGAGAACGATTGATGTTTTAAATGTTTTTATCACCTAAGGGAATAAAAAATACTGCAATCAGCTTATCCAAAGCAGCTGATTGACTACTTTATTTTATATCTCAATATAAAGTCTCAAACATACAGATTTAACATCTTGAATTGATCTGAAAAACATATTTGTGTTTTTAATGAGTAGAGATCTTGTTACCCACCTAAGTGCTTCAAATCCAGCAACAGAGCAGTTAACTTAGAAGAAAGACGGTATGAGAGGAGAAGGCACATGACAGCTTTCAAGGTAGAGCAAAGAGAATATAAATGGTAAAACAAAAAAAAGTTGAAAAATGAACAAGAAGAAAGGAATTGGAGTTGTCTGATCTGCTTAGCACATTGTGGTGTGTTAGCAAGGACAGGGAGCTAAGCCAAGCCTTGCCTCAGTCTATGTCTATTAATAATAACCATGTAGGAGGCTGAGCCATCAGCATAAAGAAGCGATCCACACAGAATCAACAAAGCTCTTCATCGAAAGCCATTAGATGTAAAAACAGAATGATGCTAAAATGATCAGAGAGAAAGATGAAGATATGTGACTATTATAACAATAAGCTCTCAGATAAACAGTGCATTGAATGCAATAATAATTATTATTATATCTTATCATTTTTCTGTCTGTCAGATGTAGAGCTAAACCTGATCCTGATGAATCAGAGGGTCTGAGCATAATCGGTGAGGTGACATTTGCAAACCTGAGCCGTTTGGTTTCACAGCATGTTAGCACAGCTGTATTTGTCAGGATATTTTCTGCACAAGCTGATATATGCCACTTCTGAGGAATCTCAACTGATCTAAATTTTATTAATTTAATGATTTTGATAAATTATTAATTAATTTTTTTAATATTATATCGCCTGACTCCTGCCAAGAATCTCAGATTTCCCACAATTCTGAACCTAGAATGGAAGAGATTGCATATAAAATATTAAAACCAAGGATGATGTTTAGGGAGGAAGAGGGAATGTTCTTTTTTTTTTTTTTTTTTTTACAAAGTAAAAGTAAATAAGACCGTTATTCTCTACGGACCTCCTGCCAGTTTTATTTATTTTGCTGTGTATCCTCATGTCGTTTTTTAACAGTTTGTTCTCAGCACTGATCGTCGTCCGTCTTAAAAATGTCACCGTCCTGTTTGTCCCTGTTGTGTGTCTGCAGAAGCTTATTGTCTTCTCTGTTTGGGAGAGGGGGGGGATTTTGATTGTGGAAAAAATGATTAGAACAATGTGGATAATATTAAAACACAAACTTTTTATAACTGTGATTGCTTTAGTCTGTATTGTATGTTTTATAACAAGAAAATATAACTGTGATAGTTTGTTATAACAGAACGAGCTTGTACCCACTAAACCCAGTCCATGCCTGCCTTGCTTTGCTTGACTTAGTCTAGTCCCCTCCATATATTTATGTGCATGTAACCAGTTAACACCTTTGTGCCAACCAACCAGGCTACATAGAGATTAATATCAATGTGATGCTGAAGAACCTCAAACCTAAGGCTTTTTTCCATAGATCTTAAGTAATAGGAAGCCAGATGGTTGAGGTCCATAACTGTTTTTCTCAAACCGCTGAGTAACTACATTTCCTCGCACCTCCCCATCGCTGCCGGCATTTAGAATGAAGAGTGGAGCCAGCAAGGCTTGGGGGAACAACCAGGATGGGGTTGTGGCCAGCCAGCCTGCCCGTGTGGTCGACGAACGTGAACAGATGGCCATCAGTGGAGGCTTTATCCGCAGGTGAGATTAAAGTTCATTTTTAAATCACCTAATGCTAAGGATGGCGGGGAAACCACAAAACTGAGCTAAACGATGGCTAAAGATTTATCAGCATGCTTTAGAAATATAATCGATTTATCCAGAGCAAAGGGCTTGAGTAAGTAAATAATCTTGCAAATATAATTATACTTACTGAAGGATGCAGTTGTGTCCAACCATTGTTTAACAGGATACCACAGAGCTTGGCTTAACTCACAGTTTACAAAGGTAAAGTGCGCTGCTCAACTTCACATCTAGCTGTTAGGTTCTTAAAAAGGAGAACAATATATAGGGAAGCAGCAAAGATGCCTGTGGTACTCTGGAGGAGCTACAGAGATCCTCAGCTTGGGAGACTGTTGGCAGGACAGCCATTAATCACGGCACCACAAACCTGGCCTTAAGGGAAGAGTGGCAAGAAGAAATCTGCTGCAGAAGGAAAGCCCTCCAGATTCATCTGTAGTTTAAGAAATGCTACGGAACTAAGGAAGCATGAACCAGAAGAGGAACTTGGGTCCAAGTCCAGACATAATCCAATGATAAAACTATAGCAGGACTAAAAACTGTGTCATTCACAGGTCCTTGTCAACCACTATGCTCCATCTGGAGAATTTCAGCCAGGAACAATGGGATGAATTAAGTGTTAAGATGTGCAAAGCTGGTACAAAAAATAAATAAAATAAAAACAAGTAGAAACTCTCATACTATTAAACAGTATCCGGATTGCCAGCGAAGACATACGTCCTGGGACTAAATACAGTGCAGAAGGAGCTGCTGAGTGAGTGAGTGAGTGAGTGAGTGAGTGAGTGAGTGAGTGAGTGAGTGAGTGAGTGAGTGAGTGAGTGAGTGAGTGAGTGAGTGAGTGAGTGAGTGAGTGAGTGAGTGAGTGAGTGAGTGAGTGAGTGAGAGAGAGAGTGAGAGAGAGAGAGAGCGTCAGCGACTCAGTGTATAAGTCTGCAAGGGAGTCAGTGAATGAGTCAGTAGCCAGTGAACCAGGGAGTCAGTGAGAGATTGAGTCAGTGAATTAGACAGCGAGGGTGTCAGTGAATAAGTCAACTAGCGAGTAAGTGAGGGAGTCAGTGAATGAGTCAGTAGTCATTGAGCCAGGGAGTCAGTGAGAGAGTCAGTAGCCAGTGAACCAGGGAGTCAGTGAGAGATTGAGTCAGTGAATTAGACAGCGAGGGTGTCAGTGAATAAGTCAACTAGCGAGTAAGTGAGGGAGTCAGTGAATGAGTCAGTAGTCAGTGAGCCAGGGAGTCAGTGAGAGAGTGAGTCAATGAATTAGACAGCGAGAGTCAGTGAATGAGTCAACTAGTGAGTCAGTGAGGGAGTTTGTGAATGAGTCAGTAGTCAGTGAGCCAGGGAGTCAGTGAGTGAGTGAGTCAGTGAATGAGTCAACTAGCGAGTCAGTCAGGGAGTCAGTGAATGAGTCAGTGAGCCAGGGAGTCAGTGAGAGATTAAGTCAGTGAATTAGACAGAGAGGGAGTCAGTGTATGAGTCAGTAGTCAGTGAGCCAGGGAGTCATTAAGAGATTGAGTCATTGAATGAGTCAGTAGTCAGTGAACCAGGGAGTCAGTGAGAGATTGAGTCAGTGAATTAGACAGCGAGGGTGTCAGTGAATAAGTCAACTAGCGAGTCAGTGAGGGAGTCAGTGAATGAGTCAGTAGTCAGTGAGCCAGGGAGTCAGTGAGAGAGTGAGTCAATGAATTAGACAGCGAGAGTCAGTGAATGAGTCAACTAGTGAGTCAGTGAGGGAGTTTGTGAATGAGTCAGTAGTCAGTGAGCCAGGGAGTCAGTGAGTGAGTGAGTCAGTGAATGAGTAAACTAGCGAGTCAGTCAGGGAGTCAGTGAATGAGTCAGTAGTCAGTGAGCCAGGGAGTCAGTGAGAGAGTGAGTCAATGAATTAGACAGCGAGAGTCAGTGAATGAGTCAACTAGTGAGTCCGTGAGGGAGTTTGTGAATGAGTCAGTAGTCAGTGAGCCAGGGAGTCAGTGAGTGAGTGAGTCAGTGAATGAGTCAACTAGCGAGTCAGTCAGGGAGTCAGTGAATGAGTCAGTAGTCAGTGAGCCAGGGAGTCAGTGAGAGATTAAGTCAGTGAATTAGACAGAGAGGGAGTCAGTGTATGAATCAGTAGTCAGTGAGCCAGGGAGTCAGTGAGAGAGTGAGTCAGTGAATCAGACAGCGAGAGAGTCAGTGTATGAGTCAACTATTGATTCAGTGAGGGAGTCAGTGCATGAGTTAGTAGTCAGGGAGTGAGTGTGTAAGTCCGATGTTTGTATTGGTTCTCCAGTAAGATTTGCACAAAGGTTCAGGAAAAGGTAGTCAGCAACCTTGGCTTTTCAGGACAACCTGAAATGAAAGCTCGGGTGGACCCCCAGGGCCTGTTTAGGTGACTTTTAATGGAAACCATTTATAGTGGATTTTATTGTAGGTTGTGCTAATAAAAGTTGAACTAAAGAATATATAAAGATTTTAACTGATTTCCTCATAAAGGCTGTGCTGGATTAATAAAGAGATGTAAAAGTAAAAAGAATTAAGAATCTTTTAACAGTAGAGAATTACCTTAAACTAGTAAACATTGTCTATTATAAATTAACATTTCTGAGTGAGATTATCCACACATCTAATAAGGTGTGACTCTTCAGTGGGTCCATCCATCCTCTCACTGATCCATTGTTAAACAGCTTTTATAGTGAAACCAAGTCAACGCTGACCCCTTCCGATCTCAGGTCTGAGGTCAGTCTCAGCTCCTCCTATCATAACTTTTAAAAGATGGCCGATGTTGTTCCAGATGGTACTGGCTGTGACCTGGTTTTCAGCACATACTGCCCAGTATTTACACCTAACCTTCCTGTGCTCAGGGTAACAGACGATGCCCGGGAAAATGAGATGGACGAGAACCTGGAGCAGGTGGGAGGCATTATCGGCAACCTGAGGCACATGGCCTTGGACATGGGCAACGAGATCGACACACAGAATCGCCAGATTGACAGGATCATGGAGAAGGTATATCATTTTTTTCACCCTTGGCCCTATTAATTTAACTAAGCTAATGCATGAAAATAGAATGAAAATTGAATTGTCTTGTTGTGTTTTATCTACTTTGAATTCAATTCTTTCTTTTTTTTTCTAAACTGAGTTACTTATTTGTGGAAACAAAATATATAGATATTAAGATAAATAGCCAGAAAAATGGCTATTTAGATTTTTATTTATGGTGTAGCATTGGTTATGTGATCTTAGTAAAGCTTATTTGCCCCTTTGTATTAATAAAGACCACGGCACTTGTAATGCAATGCTTAAAAAATCACATTGATATTCATGTGACCCTGATATTACAGTAGCCAAGAGTGTCCATCCCAAATAATTGACTTCATGTGTTTAGCCACTTGCATATGGTGACAGTTGTATGAAATCCAGCATCCAGACATGCAAACTGCTTCTACAAATATTTGTGTGGTAGGTCAGTGAATTTTAGTGTGGTACCACGAACGGACACAGTGTATCGTATCTGTTTGCTAAGCATTTCATCATAACAAAGATGGTTTCATGGGAAAGCTTTCTGTGTCCGCAGCGTCCAAGACTGCAGAGTATTGGATGTAGTGGTATAAAGTACACCTCACTGGACTTTAGAACAGAGCAGAGGTGCTCTCTAGAGCAGGGGTCTTCAATTGCAGTGCTCAAAGTCTAGTGTACGGCAGCTTTTAGATGTTTCTTGGCTTCCCCCACCTGACTCAAGGGGCTGAATTAACTCCTCTGTGAAACAAACAAACACTATAGGACACCAGATTTAAATGACTGGAATTGATGAACCCCACTTTAGGGCCCTGTCGAACCTTGTCGATTTAGACAGAGTATGCCCGACGTCCTGGATTCTCCGTCAACGTTGGCATACGCTGAACTTTCTATGTATGTTTTTTAAATTTTGGGCGTATACATAGAGCATTCATAACGAGTCCAAAACTTATGTCCAACAACAGCCTAACTTATGCATAACGCGGGGCAATGGCAGAAAATTTTGAGGATGCTCAAAATTTCTCAACTTACTCACTGTATGTCGACATGTTTCAGCGGTCTTCAGCGTGCTCATAACTTATACAAAACTTACCCATAACATATCCAACATATTTTCCATATGTCATGCGTTCGCTGGTCTAAATCGTCAAGGTGTGACAGGGGCTTTAGAGGGATCAATCATCAATCAATTAAAGTTAGATGACTCTGGGCTTGGCAGTCATCAGGTGGTACTTGGCGTTGGGCTCAGCTCATTTGTTCTAGTAAAAGAGAAGTCTTATGCTTCAGCACACCAAGACATTTTTGAGAACTTCAGGGTGAAAGGACTTGACTTGACTTTCCTTTAAACAGAGTCCTGACCTCAACAGGACAGGTCCCCTTTGGTCCAATTAGAGCAGAAATATTTAGCGGGGCTTACTTGTCCATCATTAGTGTCTGACCTCACTAATGCACTTCAAAATAAATGGTTAAAAATAACAGGGAGCACACTCTTAAGCCACCAAGTCCACCCAGAAATGATGGCTGATAAAATGAGGCGTCACATAATGTCACACAGTATGAATGAGTAGAAAGTTGAATCTATGTGACGTATTGTGATGTAACTCTGCCCACTGGCAACGCCAGTGTCAGCCAGAGGTGGGTAGAGTAGCCATTAATTGATGTGTAATACTAACTTATGGAAATCCATTTCCACCATTTTAAAGCAAAATATGGCACATAGCATGTCATAAGTACGAATCATAGCATGACATCTTGGATCAATTCTGCTACCGTCCTTGTCAGAACAGCTCAAGGATGGTCAATTTTGTTGCAAGTTAACTTTCATAAAACCAGGTCCATGAAGACATGGATAAGATATTTTGGTGTGAAATATCATAATTATATAATAATATCATAATTTTAACAAAAATATGTGGAGTAAAGTCATAGTTTTAAGAATTAAGGCATAACTATGAGGCATAAAGTCATAATTTTGAGATATAAAGTAATTATTATGTGATATAAAGTCATGATTATGACATTTAAAGTCGTATTTATGAGAAACAAAATCCAACTTTCGACTTTCGTTCATAATTGTGGGATTTAAAGTTATAACTATGAGAGTTAAAGTCATAATTATGAGAAACGGGGTAATAATTTCAACTCTCGAATTGTAATTATGAGATATAAAGTCACTATGATGAGGTTCAAGAGGGGGAAATAAGCTTGTATACTAATTCAACATATTTCTACTCAGTGGAAAGTTAAAAAGTAGCCAATCTAGAATTCCTCAAGTAAAAGTAAAATAGTATCAAGTAAGAAGGCTATTTGAGTACCAGGTAACTCATCATAACATCGGATTAATACAGATGTAGTAACACAAGGAAAAATATATATTTACAAATTCAGGGGTTCTAAAGACAAGATATGTTTGAGATAAGAAACTTCACTCTTTTTTTTTCACCAAACATATGAAGCCAATTGTAGTTGGTGAGCAGTTTGGCAGTTTAATACTGTCAGATGTTTGGTCTTCAGCTTATACAAGTATATGAAATTGGATGACATTCTCATCTTTGGGGTCTATTTTGATTATGTATTTCATCAAACACATAGTCTTAATATTAAAACACGTGAAACAAAGAACAGTTTTTATTCGGTTAAGTTTTATTCCTAGTATTTTATTCTTAGGTTGCAAAAAGTTTATTCAAGTAAAAGTACTACTATTATTATTAATGAAGTAAAAATAAGTATAAGTGCAAAACCACTCCTTAAACAACATTTTGTTTAAAAAGTTACTTGGGTAGTCAGAAACAATAGGAATACAGCTTCCAGAAATTAAAAAATTTGAGAAAACCCTCTCAACCACCTCAAGCTGACCCGTTTTTTTCCCCCCTCCTCTCCTCCAGGCTGATTCCAACAAGACTAGAATCGACGAGGCTAACCAGCGCGCCACAAAGATGCTGGGCAGTGGCTAGACGCCCCGAACCCAGAGCATGATCTTCCTGGCGTCCTGCGCCACACATCAACCGGCGCTGACATGCTTTCATCATGGTATTGACCTTCTAGGTTTGCACACATGCACATATCACCTCCCCTTCCTCGATTTAAATGTCGTTCCGTGTTGTCTGTCGAGCTTTTTCAAGATGATTGTCCTCGTAAAAAGATGATTTCTTATACTCCGTATATCATTCTTTCCAAAGGTTGTATATAGTGCTGACTTGATGGCTCTCTAGCTGACTTGTGAAGTTTTTATTCTCTTTATCTCTCTATCTTGCTCTACACACACAAACATATATATATATATATATATATATATATATATATATATATATATATATATATATATATATATATGAGATATAATACACTGCTCTGGATGATAAGTATATAATAGGAATGCTAAACAAGCTGTTTGTTTTCTTCTTTTCCTTTCCAGTATCTCAGTATTGTCTTTGTAAAGCTATGTCATTCCATTTAGGCTACTGTCATGCTCCTTATTTGGTGTTGTCACGACAACAGAGGGGACAAGAGTGATTAAAAGACATCTGTAATGTGATGATGATGATGGTAACCATGCAGCAGTACAGCTAAAAGAGATTGCAAAGAGCACTTACAATCAAAAAGAAGACAGTTGCTGATACATTTTTCCTTAATTGCAATCATACTGAGTTACTGTTTAGACAATGTGCAACTAGACTCTCTGTAGCTGTATTAGACATTGCATTCCAAGTGATGTGAATTGTGCGTTCTCTGCATGACAAATGGTAGTTTTTAGTCTCATTAATAAAACCTGTCTGAAAAATATATATAAAAAACAATAACACGGCAGTAGCAAATTGACAAGACGCATGCTCAGTATTAGGACACAGTTGTTCGTTCCATACTCCTGCAAGTTTGCAATAGTGCCACTTTTTCTGTCTCGATATATTTACCGACTGTGACCATCTTGTTGTACAATAAATGCAAAGGGGATCAAAAAAGGTGAGATAAAGGTGAAGAAAATATGAGGACTTTGGGGTTGTGTTGCAAAAAAAAATGACCTGTTTTCTAAACAATTATGCAGTTCATTGATGAAGATGTTGATTATGTGTTGAAAGAGGAGGACTGGCTGTGTACTGTATCATAGGTTTTGGATGCTCTGAAAAAAAAAAATAAAAGTTTGCAATGTAAAGCAAAGACACAATATTTCTGAGAGACCTTACTTTTATAAGAAGACTGTATCTGTAAGTTTATTCTCCCTGTGTGGTTTGTTATTGGTAAAATACAGGTATTAATAAATGACAATAACTACACCTTAAAACTAAACAAAAAAATACCAAGTTTTCTTTCCCTTTTTTTTTTTATTACTTTTGCTTCTGTACTTTAGAGCTATGCACACCAAATCGCCAAAATGTTCCGTAGTTCCAGTAAGGTGAATAAAAACCCTAAACCTGAATGACCCAATAGGATCAACTGTGAGATTGATGTCCTCGATGCATGTCATAGTAAAGACTCCCTCTCTGTATCCTGTCAGTGTGTGCAGTGGTGGACATTTTGTAGCTAGCTGAATTTATTAAAAGTAATGAACCCTAGATGCACGCGTGTTTGTCTTCATTGCTCACTCTAGGAAAAAAAGTTAAAAAAAAAAGTATTTTCAAAAAGAAAAGCTTATTTTAGATCAGGGGTAGCCAATTAAAAATCAACAGGTTCCAAATAAAGAAAATCAACAACCAGTAAAGGACCGGAGACATTTTTTATTATAATCTGTTAGTTTGAAAATAATCTAACACTGAAATAAAATAAGGTGTTTATGCATACATGTTATGCATTGACTTTTTAAATAAAAAAAACAAAAAAATATATATAATTTTTTTTTTCCATTTTAAAATCTAAAGTTTTTTTTTTTAAGTAGGGAACGACAATCGTTCAATTTAGTATAATGACAATTTCCTCATTCAAATATTTTATAAAACACCTGAACTGACCGTTTGTTTTCTTCTGTTTTCTGTCTTAATGACAGCAGTGGGCTTTATGCTGCCCTGCAAGGCTTTGAACCTGGGTTTGATTGGCGACAAAGCAATTCTCAACAACATATCAGATCCATATTTATTTCTGATTCTGTTCATGGTGGAGAATCCTGCTTCACAGCAGCAGGTTGAGCCAAACATCCACTAAATGTTCAGGGTCATCTTTGAGCACCATTTCACTTTTCTTTCACCAGTTCACTGCAGTTCTTCCAGCAGTCCACACTTTCTCTGCTCTCTTTTTCTCATCATCTTCTCCTTCTTTCCCATCGCCCGGCTTGCTACAGGTTTGCCTGCTGTGTCTAAAAGTAGCAGCAGCAGCAACCCAGACTGACAGCAGCTCATTGGCTAATTTGTATCACATGTAGCCTGGTGCTGGACGCTCTGGAGGGCTTTGGCATGTTAACAGGAGAAGTGGCGTAAGTGAAATTGGACACTGTCAACATAAAAAATGTGGTAATTTCTAAATGTTTTAAATCAGGTTGGGTCCAGATTAGCCAGCACATGGGTCTTGATCCGGACCATGGTCCGCTAATCCGTGACCTCTGTTTTAGATCATCGGTGATGTGGAAAACTGTCCACAAAATGTCCACAATTGTGCTGAGAGTTAACAAGGTAGAATTAGAAATATACTTACATCTTTGATGTTCACAGACTTTAGGCTGGTTTATTCTCAGAAACCAGGTCGTCTGGGTGTGTGTTGCAGTTAATACAAATGCGCCCGTTCTGCAGACACTCTACTGCACCTCTCCAAAATTGTAGGTGACCACAGACAGTGCTGCAGACAGGAGGCCTCTGATTGGTCAAATCTACATCCACTCTACACTATGCGTGTTTCCTGTTTGGTACCTTACCGGCTTGTTTTGTTTGTATGACCGCTATTGTGGAAAACGACTCGTGAAGATGGACCAGCTAGAAGAGTGAGGTGAACGCTGGGACCCTTTTTCCACCTTAATCTTGTCAGGGACATGATTAAGAGTTTTCACAACAGTTCAGCAGTCTGATGGCGGTGGGGAAGAAGCTGTTTTAGAATCTGCTGGACCTGCATTGAATACTGCTACAGACTGGCTACTTTAAAGGTACAACCGTTGCTTATCAACACAAACAGCAAATCAGACGTCTTTAGGCTTTTGGCGCAACATCGATCTGAGTCAACAGTGACTCAGCTTTACAGTAAAATGTTCAAAATAGATGAAAACATCCACTGATTGCTAGATTTGTATGTAACAATCTCCTGATGATGTCAGAGATGATGAAAAGGCAACAAACGCTGGGATTAGCTGTAATTACAACCGAAATAGGCAGGAAACAAGCTTTTCTTTATGCAGATGACAAACGACCAGAGCAGGTTCCAGCTTTAACATTCACATGGTGAGGTCAGAATTTGGCAGCGTGGAAGCATAGAGTCATCCTGCCTGGCTGAGGCTCTGGCTGACTTGTCGTGGTTGCTTAATGGCATAGGGGATTTTTTCTTATCATCCCTTTGTGTTTTTTTAGTACAGCTTGAGCATAATTGGAACGCTACAGCCTAAATGAGTATTATCTCTGACAATGCCCGATAATTTAAGGTATACCATCTTTAAATGACTCTTTCCATCCAGAGATGTAGAGTCTAGGGAGACAGGATTAGGCACTGCACACCGAACCACCATTACAAGCAAATTAGATAACTCTATCTGTTCTTTTGATTTGTTTTTGCACAACTTTACTATTTTATGTTAAAAGTTTCCGGATTTAAGTTATGCCTGTTTAGCTACATGGGATGACCATGAAAGTCCTGACGTGGCACAATACAGTCTGATACAATCGTTAAAAATTTATGTTTTATCAAATTCTCCCATAAAACTACTGTACAACTGTATTTTCATTCAAAATAGGAGGTATTAGTGGAAGGCCAACCACAGCTAAAACATCTGCTTTAAACATGTGGGAGAAAAAGGTAACCGGCTGTTTTAAGTCAGAGTGTTTCACCTAAAAAAGATGGCTGTTTGGTTAACATGGAGTTTAAGTGACCGAAAAGATTTACCAAGGGAGCTTTGAACCTTAAGAAAAGTAAATTTTAACTACTCAGAGACCATACTTCATTGTAAACATTTGGAGCTATACTTGGAGTTGAAAAGAGCAGCTCAGACTGAGCATCAGGATCCACAGGGTGAAGGAGATGGAGACTCTGAAAGACTTGGTCAGTGCAACATGGACTTCATTCAGAAACAAAAGGTAAGATCATGGATGGATGGATGGATGGATGGATGGATGGATGGATGGATGGATGGATGGATGGATGGATGGATGGATGGATGGATGGATGGATGGATGGATGGATGGATGGATGGATGGATGGATGGATGGATGGATGGATGGATGGATGGATGGATGGATGGGGTTCTTCCTCCCAAAAGATCTTAGGAGTCAATCTGAAGAAGTAAGTAGTAACAAGGTCATAGTTTGGTGTTAACTGTTATTGTCACCAATGGATAATTTTTTTCGCAGCGTGTCCACTGAGTAAACAAAAAAAAAATTTTTAATAGCTCTGGTCATTGGCCAGAGAACACTTATGCACATCAAAGTTTTTGCACTACTAATTCAAACTGACTAAACGTTTATTTCACCAAACAATAAAAAGTTATGCTTTCTGTTGTAGAGCCAGTTATATGCAGACGCCTTCTAAAGCCTTAAAAAGGGGTCTAAACGATTGCACTCATTGCCTTTCTTTTTTGGGTAAAAACAAACCTGACCATGCATGAATGGGACTCTTCCTTAAGATTTGATTCTAATCATAAGACTGATGTTTGACTGAGACAAACCAAAGTATCTGCTCTGTCTTACTGTGCATTATTCTTAGGTTGTCTCCAATGCTGCAGAACAGAGATTCCCATATGATTCTTTAAACACAGCATAGATGTAAAAGAATTAACATTATCTTTACCAACTTTAACTACATGTAACACAAGTTCAGGTTCACAAAAACTGGTGAAATAGGTTAACCTAACAGGAGCAGGCAGAAGCTAACCTATTATTGGCTAAAACAAAGGAGACGGAGTTTTCTTTTAATGGTTTGATGTCATAATTTAACTCTAACTGTCATCATCTGTTAGCAGATAACAAGAATAGCTAATAGGCTTACAGTAAACGTTGGAAGAAGTCAGCTTCTGCTAATTTAGTCTATGTCAATTGTTTCATTTGATATAAGTTACTGTAATAAATGAACTTTTCAGTAGTGTGCTAATTCATTGGGTATAACTGGATGTAACATGGAGACACTATACAGTAAAAGGAGCTTATTAGCCATATATATCACAGGATCTGACCTTAAGAAGCACTTAAAATTTTCAGGTTTGGACTTAGACAAAAGGCAGTTAAGAACATTGGAATATTTACCTTAAACTTGTGTGGGAATAATCATTTTTCATCTTTACTCTAAACTGTCTAAATTTAATATAATGCACTAGACCTGGCACTGTTTAAATGCTTTTATTTTTCAGTTGTATGGAGACATTTCCCCTACTGCTTCCTGAAATGAAGTTTAGCTCATTAAAACCGTATTCTGCTCTGAGATGTATACATTTATCTAAAGTCGGGCCCCAAAATAAGGAGATCTCAGCTGTCAGACCTGTGCTTCCTCTATTTTCCTCTTATTTCTTATCTTTTTGGCAAACATTCTAAAACTCATAAATCACTTAAATTCATCAGTCCATCTGCCCCAATGCTCCACCTCCACCTTAAACTAAAGGTAAGAGGGCTTCTTCCTTAGAGTTGGTGGCTGTGTGGAGTATGGAAGTCATGTTTTCTGTAAATAAACTGATTTGAGGTCTAATAAACTTTATGTTTTTGAACTAGAATTTTGATGCTGTTTTCAGGCTTCATAATGTGTTGGCTTTCCATCTCATCATCATTTATGGTTAAACTTTGTTCTTATTCTTCTTTGAGTTTTATTTCTCCTCTCTCTAGGGTGACCTTGGGTTTCAGAAAGACAAATAGAATGGGTCATTATTAATTACCATCCTTGGATACAAAGGATAGGAATCTAAGAGTTTTGCTTTTGAGATACTGATCGGTTATCACCTGTTTCAGCGAGGTCTCTAAAACTTAATTATACAGTACATTTTTGGCATAATAAACATAGTGTGCATAATAACAATATCCAAGTCTACAGTTCGGTACAGAGTAAGAGATAATTCCCTCATAAATATAAACAAAATAGTTTCCTATTTTTAATTTACTCCTGATTAGACGGTTTACTGATGACATTGAATGTTTTCTAACTATATTAACTCAGTTCAATTTATACAGCTCCAATTCATAACACATGACACCTGATGGAGTTTTGGAACTGATAAAACTCATATCCTACCATGTGATTAAATTCCGGCCATATTTTTATTTATTTATTGCTGTTTATTGCAGTTGTTTTGTCTGAATCAGATTTAATGAAAGGCTGTTCACTGCAATGCTTCTAATAGTGCAATAACATAACTTGCAGTTGATCATTAAGTTACAATGGAGTTCCAGCTGGTAGCTTTCATTAATCACAGCAATGCCTTAACCCAAACAAGCATATTGCTAATTTA